ATAGAGCAGCCATCCTCCTGTGGACTCACCACCTGCAGAAGGATCAGTGAGGGCCCGGTGCTATGTGTACTGGGTGGCATCTCTGGCCATCCCCCCCCCGAGCCAGAAATGGTTTAAGGGGTAGAAAACGGACGGACAAACAACATCTATGAAATCATCAGCTGTGGGCAGGGATCATTCTGGTCAGTCAGGCAATTGGATTGCCACTGTTGGAATATTGATCTCAAAATACTCAAGCAAGTTATCGTAAATATTGTCCACTGTGGAGGCAGATATACAACTAATATTTAAACATAGAAACAAAAACATTAAACATTAAAACATAGAAAGTATATCTTAAGGTCAAGTAGACAGGTCAAGAACACCTCCCCAGGACGCCTTCCTGGGGAGGTGTTCCGGGCACGTCCCACCGGGAGGAGGCCCCGGGGAAGACCCAGGACACGCTGGAGAGACTATGTCTCCCAGCTGGCCTGGGAACGCCTTGGGGTCCCCCCGGACGAGCTGGAGGAGGTGTGTGTGGATAGGGAAGTCTGGGCGTCTCTGCTTAGACTGCTGCCCCCGCGACCCGGCAACGGATAAAGCGGAAGAAAATGGATGGATGGATAGACACATTTAAATCACTCCCTTGCACTACTTTCATGTAAGTGCTATATGATTCATCTCTCAGGTAGTGACATTTTTATCATGCAATTTTAAAGTTCAGAAAAGCCTCCATGACCATATGGCCATGTTATTACTTTGATAAAAGTGTGAAGTGCTGTTTCAAGGTTACCTCAGCCAGTGAGGCGTGCAGCAGTGACTTGGCTTTATGCTAATGCCGTTTCAAATCAATGATTCCTATGAATATGTTCTGCTTAATTGAGTCAGAAAGTAAAGCAAAAACGCGGTTGCAACAGCTCAACGTTAGCCGTTTGGAAAACCCAAACAAAGAAGGCTCAGATTAACCATTGTGGACAATTGTAAATCCATCACGATCAGCCTGCATCCTGATTGGCTGTTCTGTTGACAATAGCGACAATCCGCTTACAACAGTTAAGAGATTTTGCACTGATACGTTTGACTTTGGACTGAAAAATACGCAGAAGAATAGGCCTTTCAAGTGAATGGACTTCTTTTACATTTTCTGATGTGGTTTCAGCCAAATGAAATACACATTTACATAAATACATGAGGTTTGCTCAATAGTTTACTCTTTTCTGGTGCAGGGTCCAGCAGATACAGCAGATACAGTTTACATGAAGATGTCATTGCTTTGTCTGGAGGCTCCACATTATGGCTTTATATCCATGAACACGAGATAAGTAAGATATTTATTCATATGGCACCTTTCACAGACCAGAGTCACAAAGCGCTTTACAATTGTTGTGGCCATTTGTCCTCTCACTCCACACAGATATTGTATTGTACACATTTTTAGTGGTAGGGTAAACCGGACCACCTGGAGGAAACCGGAGTGGACACGGGGAGAACAAGAAAACTCTACACAGAAAGGCCTGAAGGTGGAATCAAACCAAGGACCTTCTTGCAGTGAACCAGGAAGTGGGATCGTAGTAAGTCAAATCTACACCGCTCTCAAATGACAAGAAAGTGGAGAATAAAATTGATTTGTCTTGTTATATTTGAACTGTAATAACGTACTTGCTAGTCTATGCTCGGGTTTGATTTATAAAAATATACTATATCAACTTCACTGAGGGTTCACTTTTCAAAGTTAAAATGAATGCAAGCCCATAATAAATTATGTAGACAAATATTGAGGCCTTCAGATGAAATGTGATTAATTATTACTGCGAAAATCTTCAAAAAGCCAATCAATATGACAAAAGCCTTTCTTCTGCAGCCATGGACCTCATTATTATTTAACTTCAGGGCAGAAAACTGGAGCGTGAAAATGCTATTGTCAAAGGACTTCTGCTAAAACTCCCCACGTATATCTCAACTCTTTTTTTCACTGCAAGAACAAATGGAGGCTTAATTTTCTATTCTTTTCTAATGGACAGTGTGGCGCATTGTATATGCTACAACAACTCGGAACGGTCCGGCGAGGAAAGCATAAAACTCCCACAAACTCAAAAGCCAACTGCATATTTAATAAGAAAAAAAAAGAGAACTATATTGTGCGTATTTTTCTGGTTTTAAGATAAAGTGTTGATATTATTTTTTCTTCGTGAAATATTAACAAAGGGGATAGGTTGCGCTGAGAGGTTAAGCCAGCTATAGAAGCGCATACAGCGCGGCAGACATAATACAAGCGAGCGGCGAGATGGGAACGCGCTCAGACGAGGATAAGGGCCATTTGCAGCAACATTCTGGGCCTGCATCATGTAATATTCAGCACAGAGACGAGCGCTGGGTTGGTGCAAGCCTCATTTTTCTGACAACGTTTACATGGCTGATGGATGCATGGGACTTATACTATGTGGCATATAGGCTGGACCGAGCCGAGTCATAGCAACATTTCCAAATCTGTATTTCATTCGCCATTGGAGCGGTATAGTGTCAAAACATGATTCGTTTAGACCAGTGGTTCTCGACTGTGGCATACAACGCCAAACCGTGGCACAATATGAGTGAATTTAGTATAAAAATAATGAAAGATTCTGTATATTTTCCCAGGTTATTGTTCTAAAAAGCATTGGGTAAAACAACCAAGCTATTATTATCAGAATAACTCCAGCAGCTTCTGAAGTCAAGGAAATAGATGAATAGTCTAGTTTCAAGATTTTATTTCCTGCAAATTCATATTTTATCTAGGGGTGGGCAAAATATATCGTAGACAATAATATCGTGAAAGTCAATTTGAAGATATGCTTTTTTGTATTATTGTCCTTTGGGACAGATGCCCATTTGGTCTAATGTGTGCCTAAAAAGCCAATCACTGCTTTATTTGTACATTTCAGTAAATATTGAGCTAGCCTTTTTGGATGTGTTCTTTCTGTGTTACTTGAATTTGATTTTTAATGTTAATATATGTTTGTGCATGTTTTGAAAAGAAGTATTAAGCACTTTACAAATAAAAAGCTTCTATTTAGATCTATAGATAGGTCTCTATTATAGATAGGTCTCTAAACTATAGATAGGTCTCTATCTATAGATGCCCTGGCAGCAAAACATTACAGATCATTTTGTGTAAAAATAATAGATTTTAAAGATAGTGTGATAATATCGTTATCAGGAGTTGGAAAAAATATCGAGATATTTATTTTTGTCCATATCGCCCACCCCTAATTTTATCAAATCCTTAGTTGATTTGATGTAGTTTGTATCTTAATGAAACAAACTTTTTTGATATCACATCCTCAAATTAAGGGACCAATCCTAATCCTTTAATCTTTTACTTTTGTAATTGGCATATACACTAAAAATATCACCATAGGAAATTACCAATTCTAAAACAAAAAATTCTACAAACTTGAAATGTCTGGTGAATTTACTACTTTTTATCAGCTACATTTTACTATCTCTGCCATCAACATCAACTTCACTATTGTTCCTTTCATGATAAAAACACAAAAGCAGTGTACAGCCAATATTGAACATACTTATTTCGTGCTTTTCTTTACAGCATGAACAACTGCCTCCCTACAATCAGGCCCGAGGCAAATCCATACAGACAATTAAGGGATTGCTATAGATTTCAACATGGCTGATTTCACCTCAGCAGACAAATGTGAAACGTCAACAAAAAAAGAGCTGCAGCCCGTGCCCAGCATTTACCCTCGATCCCAAAGCAAAATGACATTAGCTTTTGTCTATTGAGTTTGCTAAATGCCCCACATAAAGTGAGTTTGCCCCCCAGGGCTGGGAAACAATCACGCAGGCGAGCGCTCCATTTAAATGATTTGAATGATCGGGACGTGGCAGTGCTGCACATGAGCCACGGAACTGGGTCAATACTGATGCTGGGCCCTGTCAGCGGGTCAGAGTGACGGAGAGGAACCACGGGGGCAGCAGGGGCAAGAGTGGCCTCTCAAGTCTGGTCAAAACAATGTCTGTGTGAGGCTGAATACATACTACAGTAGAATCTAACATTGCCTTTTGAAATCAGTGGTACCTTTACTGATTATTCTAAATAGATAGATAGATAGATAGACAGATACATAGATACTTTATTGATCCCCGTAGGAGAAATGGTGTCCAGTAGCAGCAAAAATAAAAACGAAATTGATTCTAAAAAGCTAACAGTAGTAATAATAAGCAACAGCCTTCGGGTCACAGAAGCAATATTATATACTATTGCTACTGATTAGTAGTTGTACAAGAAAAAGCTTAAGTTCTTAATGTTTGGTATGTTTCATAAATACTTTTTGTTTTTCCAGAGAGAAAGATAATGTTTAAAGGTATAGGAGGATTTTCTAATTCCGGGTGGAGCATCAAACCTATCATTCTGGTGATACGTGCTCGTCACACAAGACCAGAGAGTGTTTTCAAAAAGTGGAAAGAGCGATTCTTTCCTAAAGTTTGGGAAAATCCTCCAATGTACCTTTAAGTAACATTTTTGTGAACAAATTAGTTAACAATGCTGAGTAGAAAACATTGGGTTAGTACTTTCGCCAAAGCTGATTTAAAGATGTGGAAAAATAAACAATGGTCCCATGCGCGTGGACCAAAACAGTTTTATGAGCGAAAAACTTTATTTATAAAATTAGGTACCCCAGCTTTTATTTCAGATTCTTTGTGGATTTCCTTGTCAACAGTTGGTTAGTAATGTCTATGAATATAAAAGTTCTGCTGCAGTATCTTTGTGTATCTCACCAAACTACAAGTAAAAACTGCAGAGAGTTCAGAAACGATATAGTAAGAAAAACACTACAATGCACCGTCCAAATCTTAATCCTACTGCTGTTGTTTCATGTTAAACCTTATAAATGCTTTATAATAAATCAATTACATTTGGTTGACTAGCACCAGTGACGGACTCATCAAACAAAACTACAAAAGGCAGCAACAAAACCTAAAGGATGTAAGATATATGTATGTGTTTATCAAGAAGGACTTACTTTCTGCGTTGATTGACATGGTGTCCTTCTCCCAGGACACAACAGTGATGTAGGCCTCCACTGAGGCGGGGATAATGCACTTGAAGACCGCCACATTGTTTCTCATGGCTTTCTGGTCCTCCACCCGGACTGTGTAGGGCTCCCGGAGGACTGCCAGCACAAACACGGACACTCAATATATGATGCCCACGTATATGACAACAATATCAAAAAACAGATATTAAGCGATACTAAACAAGTACAAAGCTTTGATGCTAAAAAAAAACAACCAGCAAAACATGTAAGATTCTCTGAGCAGTGTAATTAAGTTGATATCTGAACTAGTAAAAAAATATGTAAAAGTACTATAATGTTGTTACTTCCACCCCGGAAAAAGAGTTTGAATGTCTGTTTGTGAACAACATTAATTAATAAAGTTATGATTTGGACAAAATTGAATTAAATTGATTAAATAGTAAATGTGCTGTGAACTGATTACATTTTGGAGAGTCTGAATCACCGTCTGGATGAAGGAATAGAACTGCGCCTTGAGGGAGAGGTCTGCTCTCTACGATGCTGTTGTAATCATTTATGTTTTTATATTAAGTTTTAGATTATCACTGTGCTGTGTAAATACATATCAAGTAACAAGTATATTTCTGCGGATCGTGACAACACAATGGGGGCGGCTATCTTCTCATCAAACCAGGAAATGGCAACAATAGATTCAAATGGGGATTAGAGATGTCAAATGATAATCCTAAATCTCTTTGAGCCAGATCAAAACATTTAATTTCTGTAAACATTGTATCTTTATCTTGCCTTGAAGTAGTAAATACAGTCATCTGCTTCTTCCCTACTTTCACACATTGCTGTATTTGGTGAATTGTCCTTGGTTAATTGTCACTCACACAGAGCCTTACAGAAGCGTAAGGCTCTGTGTGAGTGACAATTAACCAAGGACCATATACTGTAAAATCTGTCAATAATTATTAAGTTTTTTTCATTTAAATTTTTCAAACTGTTAAATTGCCTCTTTCTCTGTTCCGTAATTCAATGTCAGTTCTCATTTATAACTTTTGCATAGCTTCCTAGAGTTTTTTTGATGATGTTGACAAGAATAAATTAGAATTGAATTGAATTGAAGTACTGCAATTACATATTTCTTTAAAATTGTGCAGCGCTAAATCACAATATACGTATGATAACATATTATGTATCTTTGTATCCCCCAGTCCTTTAAACTCATACTAGACATAACAGATCAGGGGTACATTCTCACAGTATCACACAGTATCACACAGTATCACACAGTATAAAACAGTATAATAGGGATGCACAGAGGACACTGACCGGCCTTAATGTGGACATCTTGGCTCCTGATTCTCCCTGAGGGGTTCTCCGCTGTGCAATAGTAGGTGTTGTCGTGGATGAGTTTGCTGAAGCTGGAAGGGGGGATGTGGAAGATCTGGAGGGTGCCATTGGGGTGCACATGGCGGATCCCTGGCACGTCGTAGATCTCCTCACCGGTGGCCAGGTACCAGCGCAGTGAGACAGGGGCCACACCTGCGGCGGGACAGGGCACCGACGTCCCTGTGGTGCTGGCGAACACTACCTCTTGCACAGATGCATTGACAAAATATAAGCTGGAACGAAGATCTTCACAGAAAACTGAAAAGAGAGAAGAACATAGACATTAGATAGATCATTCAAAATATACACTTAAAGTGAAGGTGGTCCTATCTTTCCCTTTTCTGTCTAAAAAAAAAATCATATCTTAAGATGCCAACAATACATGCATGTCAGGGGTGTCCAAACTTTAAAAAAAGAGGGCAACTTTTCTTACATTAGCGCCTTGGATTCAAACTTGCCACTGGTTCTGGGCTTTACAACAAGGTACAGTACGCCTATATTGGAGGAGCTGAAGTTCGCTGGATGACACTGTGATCTTGTGTTTAGGATCTCCATGGTACTTGGGGTTAGCTAGGCAGAGGACCACGTGACATGACACAGGGGGCCGCAATTGGCCCCCGGGCTTGAGTTTGGACGTGCCTGATGTATGTGAAAACTAGAAGAACCTAAGTCGTTTGAGATTTTATTTTTTTAGCTCCATTTCTTGTTGTTTGAAAGTCAGGTACCCTAACTTTAACTTTGTAATTGCGTTAAACAGTCATAAATGCAACAGACTTTTTGAGTTTGACAGAAAAGAAAAACTGTTGGAAATATGAAGGCACAGCACGTAAGAAATCGAACGGCTCACTGCAATCTTTCCTATGTACATTACTGCATATATTATTGAACCGCACAACCAAAAATCCATACGTTCTCCCGGAAGGCTCATTTACATACGATTTAATCAGAATTACATGGCTCTGTAGCCTCCATAATATCTCATCTGTTATACTTCATACATCACTGCTACACTTTAGATTGTGTTCCCATAATTAGGATTCTCATATTGGTCAAAGTGGAGTGCACTCATTGTGTCATGTATACAGTTGTTCCTGCTGGTCTGGCCTAATGAAGAGAGACAGTAAATTCAGTCTCTCGGAAACCACCTTTCTTTGTGGGAAGAATAAAAAACTCTCCTCTGCAGGTTTAATTTAATGCACACAACAATCCATCCATCCATCCATCTTCTTCCCCTTAATCCATTTCTGGGTCGGGGGGGTGGCAGTCAGAGCTGCACCCAGTACACTCAGCACCAGCCCCTCACTGATCCTCCTGCAGGTGGTGAGTCCACAGGAGCCTTGATCTTTCAGTGGGGGCTTCAGGCAAAGTGGGGTTAAGTGTCTTGCCCAAGGACACAACGACAGCAGTCATCAGTGGGAGTCGTGAAGTAGGTCTTATGGTGGGCTCAAACCCACGACCTTCAGGCCTAAAGGCCAGTGCTCTACCAACTGAGCTACTCTCGCCCCTACCACACACCCACACGCCCCTAGGTGTACACACAACAATCCATTTTCTTTATTGTATGTATACAAAAATTATGCAGATTATGGCTACTTCTAGTACTGGGAAAGTCAACAAGCTATATACATTACAACTGCTGATGATGATGATGCAGGTGTATAGTTTTTTTTGCTGTTTTACGTCTTACAAGACCTGTTATCTTTTGCATGAGCCCTGTGAGTCACTATTTGACTCTTTGGGCTGAAAACTTGACTGAGTGAGGGCGGTCCTCTATTTTCTGTCTGCAAAAGCTGAAGATGTGACTGATGCCAAAACAAACATGCAGGCGAAAACTTGTGACACTTACAAAGTTGTGTCACTAGTTGCATGGATTTTAACACATATTTTCATTGTTGTGGTTTGAAAGTTACATACCCCAGATTTGTAGTGCAATGTTAAGCCATACATCAATCCATTTCACTTTGCTCTATCCAATTGCGTGTTTTTTGACATCATTTCATAAAATCTAGTTTGTTTTAATGTAAGATCATGTAAAAGTAAAGCCTAGCCCACGTGCCTATTAATACAAAAACCTGTTATTATTATAGATCCATGCAAAAACCTCACTCTACCGTTCAGACCACAAGACCTGCATCAGTAAGGTAATACTCAAACGATGCCGCTGGTACCAGAACTGCTTTCCAAAATAAAATCATGAAAAAATATGTGCAAAAGTTGAAGTTATATTAGTACTTTTGCATGCCATTAAGTAAGTCATCTCTATCAATTCCAGTGTGTTTCTCCGTTACATTCTCTACTGCAACCCTCTCTCTCACATGTGCGCTCTTGTCCCCGCCTGCTTGTGCGACAGCTGCCAATCCCCGCTCCCCGGAGACCAAACATTTTAGCGCTTCATAAATTCCTAATGAGCGCACTCAAATCACCGGCTACTTCCACCCAGAGCGCGTGCAACCTGTTACGACAAACAAACAGCGCTGCGGACACGTGTTTCTGCACATCGGTGTATAGCCTCAGTCACTTCACACATATGGCACTTAGGAGAGCCGGCCCGGAGGTGCTGAAGAGAGGACGCTTGTGCCTTCTGACAGATAAAGCCCCGTAGGTCTGGTCCAGGAGGAGTGGAGCGGCGCTGAGACGGCGAGCAGTGTGGACATCTATATTGATTTGGAAACATGATCATTAACTACCTTCAAAACATGGGGCAACTGGGAGTTTGGGGGCGACAAGTGGAGATAGTGTCACATGGCTATAAATAAGAAATGTGACAAGAGAGAACAGCTTGTGTGGAATGTGTATCGGTGACATAGTTGTGAATATTATTTAAATGTACTGTATATTCCAAAACGCTAAATCTTTTATAATTATCGTATTTATGATTAGCGAGTTCAGGGGTATAGGCTGTTTTTTGACACCGGAATAAATCATGTTGACAAAAGTTTTGGATCTCTTTAGATATCATGTTTTTGCTTGTTTTTGTTTGCTTGTGCCTCCATAAAGCTTCGACAGCTTTATGAAGGGAAAATCTCAAAAAATATGATTGAATAGACAACATAGCAATTTGTAATGACTGATTTAAATCTGGGGTACCTGACTTTCTTCCAATATTGATACCCGTAGTTTGTCTCAAGAGGGAAAAAAAAAACACATGTGTAAGAAAGAACCCTGTGAGTCACAGCTGATTGGCTGAGAGAGGGGGGTCCTTGATTTTTCTGTCGGAAAAAGATGTGATAGAGGCCAAAAATACATGCATGTGAAAAAGAGGAACTACATGGATTTCTATTATAGTCCCATTTTTTTGGTGGTTTGAAAAATTGGTACCTCAGCTTTAAGATACTGCATGATTTTTCATGACAGAAGTTTCTAAACAGTAATGAAAACTATGGTCACATTCATGAAAGATTCTGCATAAGTATAATAAATGTGGCATATGTAGGATCTTAGGAGAATATACATAAACAGTGCTTATTATTGGTATTTGGCTGACACACTTTACTAGCGCTTACATCGGCAGAGGGACAACTTATGTGAGCTTCATTTAGTGCAGTGTAATTGCACACAGTAACAGCTTGTCACTGATTGTCTGGAGAGCGAGATCTGTCAGTGAGACGATGGTTAAACCAGCATCTGTTGGGAGCAGCAGGGACCCGGCTGACGTGCCCATATTTCATCACACTTAGACAAGGCTCCAAAACAAACACTTATTGGCTGCTGTCATCTGCATAAATTCCCCATTATGTTTACAAGACGGAGAGAGGAACAAGTGACTACATACGTCCTGTATTCCCGCACGATTGGTAAGACATGTAAAGCCAGAAGTATGCAAGTGTATCGCAGACTACAAGTGCAATAAGCTGGGTAACTTTACTTATCCTAATTACAACACATTGTACTCATATGTGCTCTCAAAGACGCTATACAAAAAGACAATAATATGACTGTCTTGGTCCCAACAGAAAGAGTAAAGTAAAATGTAAACAAACAAGACCATAACATCCTGACTTAATCTTAATAGAAAATATGTCATCCTTTGCATACTTGAGTAAGGGATGACCTTTTCTGTCAAAAAAATATGATCTAGAGATGTGACAGAAAACACATGCATTTGAAAACTAGTGATCTGTTTATAGAGGGATGAACTAGTTACATGAATTTAATTATGAAAGTAGTTTTTGTGGTTAGAAGTTAGGTACCCCAGCTTTATCAGGCAGTCACGATGTACACTTTAAATGCCTCGACTGAACGACTGACTCTCTGATAACTGAGCAACTGAATTTTTGTCTAACTAAAAATGTCAAAGCCAAAAGTATTGACTTATTTGTGTGTGGAATAGACTTTGAATATTTACAAAAGAAATCTGCAAAAACACTCAATATGCAAAAGCCCCAATGATGGCCAACATTTCCCAGTGACCGAGCTGACTGATGTGGATTAGCTCTTCATAAGTGCTTTTGTCTATCTGCCGTTCCATAAGTCATCAAATATTGAGCGCACCCCACTATTGCACTCCGGCGTTACCAGTGCTTTCTGGGTGGCTGCGTCCTTCAGAGGGGAACGCCTGATGGCCTCCCACATCCTCACAGCTCTGCTCAATCTGCAGCCAAGGCTCTCGTTTCTCAGAGCAGTGAGGAAAAACAAAACAACTGAGCATGAGCCTTTGATAAACACACAGCTTTTACGGGGATTATTATTATTATGATTTTAATTTACTTTCACTGGATTCTACAGACCAAACACTTATTCATTATCATTAATTTTTTTGGTTAATATTTAGAACATTTCAGAACTATCGTGCATGAAACTAACTGCAGCACTTGTTTCACACACACATCTGTTTCTCTGTGGAGTCAACACTGCACTTAAATGTGACATACAGTTTGCATAAATCATTTTTTTTTTTCTTTTTCAAAAACCTTTTTTTCCGAATGGTGGTATAACAAGAGCACAAGCTTTTTGGACAAAATGGATGAATCATATTTGTTATAAGATGCTACAAAAGTTATGTAAAGGTGTTTTTTAAGTTAATAGATTTCTCAGTAGTTGGAGCCCTACATCAGACATATCATTTCTACAGTCGCATGCACTGTCCATGAAAAAAACAAAACAATTCAACTGAACAAAAGTGTTCTGCACATTCATAATTCTGTTTGGGAATGTAGTTATTATAAAGATTCTCTATGTCAGCAGACAAACGAGGCAGGATTAATCGCACTCTACTCGAGACAGAGCGCGGGAGGTGGATGTTTGCGTTCGCACTGTTG